GGTCTCTGTGAGATTTCCAATCATTTAGCTTCGTCGAGCAGTGCTTATGAAAAGTAAGGCGCCACTTTTTGTCTGTACTGTTTGACTTTGCTATGTGGTTCGAAGTGTTAGGTATCTTGGGATATCTAATAACGTTGCAGTGTTATTTTCATTGCTGTTTCTATAAGAGCAGCTGGCTTTGGCTATATGCCTTAGCTCTAAAAGTTTTTAAACCAGTTTTCAAAGAAAAAAATGTACTCCTGTGGCTGTTTCTATAAGAGCAGCTTGCTTTGGCTATATGCCTTGGCTTTGAAAGTATTAGTCCAGTTTCTCTGAAAAAAAATTGTAAATTGTACTCTTGGTGCTGTTTCTATAAGGGCAGCTTGCTTTGGGAATATCCTTTCATGCATGGTTCAAAAAATGTTGACTGAATTTTTTCAAAAAAAAGTATTTACGATTGATGTTGCACTTGGTTTTGACAGTTTGTTGCTTTGGCTATATGCCTCAGCCTCAAAAATATAAAGTCAATTTCTTGTGGTATTTTTTCCAAACCTTGTTTCTACAATGGCAGCATGCTCTGGCTATATGCCTCAGCTCTGAAATGTACAATGAAGTTTTCAAGGACAATTGTGTATGCCTTCATGCTGTTTCTATAAGGGCTCATGAAATATCTTCAAGTTAACTCGATCCTTGAAATGTGTGCACAGTTCGACAGCTTAAAACGAAACTATTAGGAACACTGCCTATGATTTGTCAGCAGAATAATTTTAGTTTTTGGACGAACGTAACTTGAATCTAAGCACTTTGAACTCAGGCATTTTTATGTATTACTATATTAGTTCATCGATCTCATGCATAAGCTTTATTCAGCTCTCTACCAGAGTTAGTGGGTTAAGAGAACAAAAAAATATATACACGATAACTTAGAAATACTTACTCACATTAATGCATGTTTTGCTGATCAGTCTTAAACATTACTCAAACACAATAGCACACTGTAAAAAGACATGAACAATTAATACTAAAGTATATGCCAAATTAAGATTTAATCTGCATTGTTCTATAATGTCAAGATCTTAAACGCACCTACTTTGTAACTGGTTTTAGATATAATAGTTCAATGTCTTCGTATATTAAAGATGTACTATGTAAAGAAAACACACACGCTTTGTAATACATGTTTAGTGAAGTATTAATAAAAGTAGGACCAAAATTTTCCGTCTCCTCTCTCTTGATTTCAATATCTTTAACACACACACTTTGTTGTAATACTTGACTTTGTTTTAATAAAATCTCAAACTTGTGTACTTTGTGTTTAATTCCGGCTTTCGGTGAGGGTTTTTCTCCAGGCACTCTGGTTTCCCTCGTAAAAAAACAGTGTCCGTGTGTTCGGAACCGTGTTTACGGTTGGTTTTCCATACGAAAATTGAACTTTTCACGAGTAAAATTGCATGAAAGCTAAACATTTCTGTTGACAATTTATATCCGCATAATTGGTATGTCTCGTTATACTAGATAAAAAGTTTATAATATTTTCGCAACCCAGTAGACTTTAATGTCTGACGTAAACGCCCTCAGAATAGAAAACATAATGGTCTAATGGAAGCTGACTTGTACACACGGTTACTGGGTTCAATTCCCGGAACACTGTTCTTTGTTGCGATGAACTTCATGTTCTTCAATTAAAGTATGCAAAGCTTCGTCTTTAGACTATAATTTCACTTGACGAGTTGTTAATGAGCACTTTACTGATTTTGAAAGACGTGATACAGCCAAATGGAAATGCAATACTTCCTCATCCTGATGCTTATAAAAGAACGACAACATTCTCTAGATACGTGACTTATAAAACGTGGAATAAGTGTTCTTCAAGACTTCAAGATGTTCTGTTAATCACCACCTCATCCGTATCATGCATTTGGCTAATTCTCAAGATTAAGACGAGATTGTTGAATATCAATGAGAACGAAGAGACAATCCCATTGGCTATAAAGTGACGCTGACGATTCCTTAGTGACAAAATGATGCGAGCTTAAATCCTTACCTTATCTCCTGCACTTATAATGTGAAGGTGCTTCCTTCTAGAACCAGCGCATGATGCACTGAGATTACATTTTAACATTATTAAATAAATATTCTTTTTAGTCCGTTTTGTCACATCAAATTTTGTCTTTATTTATGTTGTCAACTATGACTGCAGGAAAACTGGACGGTAATTGTGATTATTTAAACTGATGATATTTGTTCTAGTATATGGCATCTTATTTCCTTACGTTCACGATCTCTGTTGCTGCATGCTAGTCTTCCAGAACGAAATTTGACAAGCAGCCCAAGTTAATTCTGAAGATGACGTGAATGTAATGTCATTGTTTCAGCAGTGATGTGCCCTACGGGAATCGTGTGTTAATGTTTTTGTGCATGAGGTTTAACGGGTACTCCGGTTCCTCTTGACTCAAGATTTTCAAATAATCACTCTGCAGTTGACTTTATTGTTGTAATAAAAATAAACAAATAAGCCAAATTTTAAAAAAGCTTGAGGCGAATATTTGATATTAACTACTTGTAAACTATTCTATCAAAAGCTTTGCATTGTAGTTTTCTAAATAAACATTTTAATGCAGTTGTTTTCTTTGATTTGGGTGCCCTAAGGGAATGTTTTTGTTGGGTAGATTTAAAAACGCTGTCCACAAAAGGTAAAAGGCAAGGTTAGCATTACTAACTGTTAAAAAAGCCTAGTTTGATAACGGTGTAAGTGTTCATGTACTGACATTACAAATACATGGCAATACCTGCCAGATTTTTTCAGTATCAATGCATTGACACTTTGTTTCATTTTGTTAGTTATTCTATCTAGTTTAAAGAATATAAAAAGGCAACTGAATTCTTTCTTTCGTCTGGCCTAAGCCGAAATAGACTTTTCCCTAGCCTTTATTCTGACTTACACTGTTCACGTATTCTCGTACAAATTTGAACGGTTTAATCTTTTAAGATCAAATCAACAATAATCAAAATCTCGCTGTTTTAATAAATATATACCTTCTTGAAAACTCGTTACCACGCGTTAGCTTTCTCCCCGTAGTAAACACTGCATGGCGTAGATGATCCATAAGTGCTTTGACCTGCAGTTCAACAATGCTTCTGAATAAACGATCAGAATTCTACCCTTAAATAAATGGGCCGACCATAGAAAAGTTATGCATAATATGCAACATAAGACAGGCAAATGATTGAAAATAAAAATGTACAAAAATTTAGAGTGATGTTCGAAATGTTTACGAAATAATTCATCAAATACCAGTTTTGCACTGATGCAGGAACATCACTTTTGTATGGTCTGACCTAAATACAATTCAAACATGCATGTATCGTAATAAATCTTTCATTTATATTTACTATTATTTAACGACTTATTGCATTGCATACGCTTGCAGAAGTCGGAAAAATACTTATAAATTATAATTATTGTAGCTGTACGTAGGAGGAAAAAATGCACTGATAATACAAACCGTAGCTTGTGAAGAAATATTTTAGGCAGATTTAAACAAACAATACCGGCGTAATTGTTGATGAAAATCATGAAAACTTCGCGGAGTTTATTGAAACAAAAATATACCCTTAAGGCTTCCATGGAAAATCCGTGGCAGCAATCATTGAAAACAAAAATTCATATTGGTCACAACTTACATACGAAACAGTAATGAAGAACGCCTGTCTCGAGTATACCAGAAAATTGTATATTTGGGGGACCGGGACGTTGCATGCCGAAGTGTATAGGGTATGAAGCTATTCTTGTGTATTATACAACTTACATTTGTCATATTTATCATCAGCATCTTAATATGCAACCAATAATGATGTACTCGCAGAAAAGGCGCTGATTTTGAGAATGCAATATATCCCTCTAGCTGTAGAAATTATATGAATAAATATATACACTACGTCATAAATATCTAAAAGAAGAAAAATTATATTTTTTCGTCATAAAAACAATGACATGATTGTAAAGACGGAATTTAATTGTTTTTTGGCGTAGCCCACTTTCATGTTACACATTGTTTGAAAGAGCATATTACTTCGAACTAAATACGGAGTTTTGAAGAAACTCTATAAAATAGCGGCTGAAAAAATTGCAATATATTAAGACATGCCTGAGCATTATTAATAAATTAAAAAACGCGAAAAGACTAATCGCTAAACAATCGCAATTTTCTCAGCCTCTATTCTGTGGAACTTCACTATACTTTCGTGAATAGTACAGAATGACACACTCTTTTAAAAAGTTTGCAATGTTCAAGTGATTCCTTTTTCGAAATGTATGAAATTCTGTCTCAAGCTCAACCGCACCAAAGTGTCAAGTACGCACGACATTCGAGACGTTTATTTGAAGACGTAATTTCATCGTTTTTTTGACGAACCCACTTTCATGTTACACACTGTTTGAAAGAGCATATTATTTCAAAGTAAATACGGAGATTTAAAGAAATTCTATAAAATAGCAGCTGAGAAAATTGTCATTCTTTAGGAATTACTGTCGCCCGGCTTTGCTGCGCGCTAGTAGGTATTATTAATTAGTTTATAAGAGACGCGCGTGCAAATATGTTTGATTCCAAGACGGAATTTTATATATTTCTACGGCCAATCCACTTCCATGTTACATACCGTTTGAAAGCGCACATAATTCTCCACTAAATATAAAAGTTCAAAGGATTTCTATGGTCCAGGGTTGAGAAAATTAGGAAATTGTTCTTTGCAGCGCGAATTAAAAAACTAGCGATAAAAATGTTGGTAAAAAATCTCTTTTTGGGGGCACATTTTACGTTGATTCCGCCTGTTTTGTTACAAGGTATAAAGTTTAAGTTCCAATTGATCGATTTAGTACATTATTATTTTTGATAAATGTTTGGAAAGGGTTTTAAACAATATTTGAATTTCGAACGTTTAAATGATGGAAATGAGTCATATATGAATGTCGTGTTGAATGTGGTGCGTACTTCACAGTGGTAACAACCGTAAACAGTAAACCTTCAATTTCCATGTGCTTTCCTGTCGAATGTATACCATGAAATCAAATGTTCGAAATGAAAGCGACGAAAGTTCTGATGACTGTTCTGATACCACTGATGCAAATTCTAACCTCTCGTATTTTTCAAGTTACGAAAACCTCGATGTCCATCGCCTGATGTTAAGAGACCGTCCACGCACAGAGTCCTACAGAGAAGCCATGCTGCAGAATAGGACGTTATTTGAAGGTAAAGTTGTGATGGATGTAGGTTGTGGAACAGGCATACTCTCACTGTTTGCGGCAGAGGCAGGGGCATGCAAAGTATATTCTATCGAAGCAAGCAATGTTGCCTTGATTGCCAGGGACATAGTGAAACGAAATAACTTGCAAAACATTATTGAAGTGTTCAGCTGCCAGGTGGAAGACTTCATTCTACCTGGTTCTGAGAAAGTCGATATAATAATATCAGAGTGGATGGGATTTTATCTTCTGCACGAATCAATGTTGGATTCTGTAGTTCTAGCACGGGATAAATTTCTGAAAGAATCAGGATGTATGTTTCCATGCCTAGCTACAATATATGCTAGCCCTTCAAATCTAAATGGATTTTATAATGAAGAGATTAGTTTTTGGGATAATCTATATGGCTTTGATTTTTCTGTTGTAAGAGAGGCAGTGCTTCAAAACAAACAACAGTCACCACAAGTTATATTGGTTGACGGCAGTGAACTAACTGCAGAACCCGAAGTTGTGAAACAGTTTGATTTGATGAATGTCACCGTGGATGATATTATGCAATTCGAAAGCCAGTTTTTTACATCTAGTATACAGAAGAACATCTGTCGTGGTATAGTTCTTTGGTTTGTTTGTGAGTTTCCGACAGAACCTAAATTTAAAGGCAATTTAACTTTGTCAACTGCCCCCAGCTGCCCAGAGACCCATTGGAAACAGACTGCCATAGTCCTACCAACTGAGATCCACCTAGAAGCTGGTGATGTTATTGGTTTTAGCATTAAACTGTCCCAAAGCTCTTCAAATCATCGTCATTATAACATTCAGGTTGAAGTTCTTTCTGATGAAGTAGAACACCCAATGCCATGTAACTGTGGTTTAGCAAGGTGTAAGTTGATAAAAGCTTTTATGAAAGAACAACATGAGTTGGATGATAGTGATGAGGCTGCATCTATATCCTAGGTCAATCTTAAACAATGAAGAAATTCTCTTGGAATGACCTTATTTGGTTAGTTTTATTTCCAAAGTACCATGTTTTTTGTGACAACAAACTAGACTTGCTAGTGTAGCAAAGGATGCAATTTGCCCAGATGCACCTTATTTAGGTACTTTAATACTTAAACATACCAAGTTTACTTGTTGGTCTGAGCTAGCTAAAAGACTATGCTTGTCCTATATGAGATTGCTAATTAATTAAAATGAATTAACGTGGGTTCAATTTAAACTAACAACCACAGTCTTTTTGCTTTCTTGGGACTTTTTTGATGATACATATAGAGTAAAAACAAAGAACAAAGAACACTCAAAGCCCCATCATTGTTAAGCAATAGGCTAGCTTATAGTGTAAACCTCAAATAAGTTGTATGAAAGGTTGATTAAATCTTAACTATGTTTAGTTATGGTTACACAGAATAGACTAATTATGATCATGTATTTTGGTGTTTTTTTACAATTTATGGTGACTACCATAAATGTGGTTTAGAACTGGTCCCTAATGCCTCAAAAATTTGAAATTTGAACCCCATAACACATGGGGGTTCACAATGATAAAATGTCGGTCAAATTGCTTTGTTACTGGTCAGCAAATTTCAGTAAATCAACCAAGTTTACCAAGATGTTTATTTTAGTATTTACAAAATTAAAGCCCCCAATCCTCGCGTGTTTCATGCCCCAGCACCCAATGGATCACACAACTACTTCCCATGTGTTGTCCTTCAAAAGTTGCAAGTTTTAAAAACAATTTGTAGGAGTAATGTATGTTGATTTAAAGGATAGCTCTATAAAAAAGGTAAATTAATATTATAATTCTAAATACAATTCAAATTTTTATTAGATATCTTGAATAAAAGGCAATACCCAATAGAAATTTTCGGGATACATGGTTGGGAGAGATAGTTAAGAAATGGTGGTTGATATATATGCTAGAGGTGCAAGCAGTCCTATTCCAAATTATTTTTGAACAAATTTTGGAAGGTACATTTGAGATTTGAAAGGCTTCTTCAAATGACGTAATAAGTTTAAAAATTACTATTTCCCTATTTAAAGTAGCTCCACTAAAGTATGTTCCTGATTGGCAGTCTGGGCACATTGGCCAATGAGAAGTATGGATTATCTTCAACCAACCTCATAATTCTGGCTTTTTAATAAAGATCTCTAGATTATTAGTTTTATCACGAAACCGACCAAATGTTTTGGTGGAACCACTTTTCGTGATAGAACGTATATTGTAGTTTCCAGCATTTTGGCCATTATACTTTCTATATTTCTGTTGAAATACTTTTCTTTACAAATTCATGTAAAATACCAATTTTATCAAAACTTATATTGACCAGCGAATATAATTAAGTCAATCATGTAAGCTTAGGAACTTTCCTGAAGTTCTTCTTCCGTCGATTTCACCGAATTAAGACTTTTCGGGATACATTTAGTCACAATTTGTATTTCCTGGAATTCCTTTAAGTAACTAACTAGGAAAAGCAGAAAACAACTGGCGCCAATCCATTCACAGACATTGCTAAACACGTGTAGTTCATAACCACCATCATTCTGGTTCCAACGCAAAATTGTGTGAGATGGATGACTGTCCTTGAATTCTGCATAGGCAATCAAGGAAAACATCAGGAACAAAGATCCAGCTGTAATCATAATGCATGTAATTATGAGTCGATATATCCAGGCCAAACGATCATCCATGTCGAAAGCATGAAGTTTCCAAGTTATAAAAGACTGCAATATACTGTAGATTGCCGCAGCAATGAACGTCAAGACAGCACCAATGTCGTGTACTGTCGCGGAGGTGGTGTCCTATAAAAAACGAAATATAAGAGTTGCTCATTTGATATTCTTATGAAAAATGCGAAAAGGGTCCTGGCCTACTACTTGCTACACTCGAGAACTAGAATTATTCCTGGAAAATGCCCATCATTCCTATAATTGTGGCAGAAAGACAACGCACACTGACTCAATTTTCTCAATTTACCAACTACGATCTGTCTTTTTGTGAACCCCCCTCCCTTCACGCGATAAAAGCCCAACATCGTACCATCGTACCAACATCGAAAGGAGCCAAACACTACAATACACTCTATTGGCTTTTAGCGCGAGTATTTAGTGGACTTGGAGTCTTAGTCGAGCGGTTGCTGTGAAATACTCAGGTCGCTAATTTCTTTTGATATTATTTTATTTTTTACATAGAAATTCGTCGATACCGTCCTACACGGATGTGCACTTGGGCGTGTTTTGCGAGACTGTTTTATTACAAAGATTTACAAGCCACTTTATACTGTAGCTAGTAAAGACGAGATAGCTAGTAAAATAATTTTAAGGAGTGTTACGCACTAGGCGAGTGTATTTCCTAACAGAATTATATCTATAAATCGTGTTCGTTAGTTTCAGGTATTTTCTTGCGCGCCTACCTGAGATAAGTGCGCGAAACATTAGCGTGCATGATTAGGCACTACAGGCTAAAAGCACGGTTCATTTTGCGCGTGACGACAACAGCTTCATTTAGAGTTGGAGTTGGTTTTCTAAAAGTGAAGCCAAAAAAGCGGAAGACGGAAAAGGCTTATGAAGGTTATTTTTAGTCGTTCGTGCCCGGCCAAATATTTTTCATTGTTTTTCACCGCGGGAGTGATGGTCCTGGAAACCTCTAATTTTTGTGGGTTTTTCATTTTATAAGAGCAAAAACGGAAATAAATTTATTCTTTACGCATTTAACTTCGGTAACCACAACTACCCTCAGTCTAATGAGTAATGTTTCTTGAGAGTAAACAATTCATGTGCTAAACCTCAAGCAGCTCTGTTGTGAAGTTTTTGCTACTTGTAGATGTCATGTTGATATCAACGACCATGTAAATATTCAATAATTCTGATGATCTAAACTGGATTTTAATTCATTTTAGGTTGATGAGGATATTATATTGGCTGAATTTTTAACGTTCGAAACATCCACATGCCCATCCTTGCATATTGTTTACGTTCGAAACATAATGCGCATCCATATGGCCTGCAGTCTTGGGCTGCTTTTTTGTGTTGTTTGATTTTGACATCTGACAACAAACAGGTTAGTGAGACCAATAAATTTACTAACCAGTTTGGAACGTGTAAACGTATATTTCTTCATCGTCTAATATGATCAAGTTGTGACTAATTTTTAGCCTTTGATCGCGCTTTATCAATGGCGTCAGCATCCAAAGGTCAAAATCCGCCATATTTTTGCCTTCATCATTTCCTTTAGGAATCATGGTACAGCTCTGGCTAATTCTTAACTAGAACTCTAAGCGCGCGAAGCATAATGGAACGTGTGCGTATAAATTTAAAACTTATAGTGCATTGTTTTTATGATTTATCTTAGTCTTGTGTCTCGACGAAATGGCGCGATATAAATGATATCAGGAGATTAATAACATTACGAAAGATCTCGATCCAGTCGTACAAGCCTAACATACTTACTTGGGTTTAATAAAAGCGGATCAATCAATATACATATTTGTGTCAATCCCCAGCAATTTGTGTCATTCCGCAGATCATAGTGCGTGCGCGTCTTTGAAACAAGTGTGACCATGCAGTATTCGAGTCTATTCGCGAATGCACTTTACTACATACTTTTTTCCTATGAGCCAGACCGGTGAACTGTAATCAAATCCACTGACAAATTTTGTTGATTAATTTATTCTCATAGCAAGACTAATTAACTTTACAAAACCCTTCAATGATTTATTAATGTATATAGGCCCTACTACAAGCGTAACCACAGTTGTGGTTAAAGAATGAAGTTGCGCTGTGTTTACAAAATACAATCGTTCAATTAGGCGCGATGTTGGGTAGAAAACGGCATACGAGAACCACATGCAAGCATCCTGCACGCATTTGAATAAATTGATGTCAATTTTAGATGAAGCTTGCATGATTCCTTGACGAAGTCCATTAGCTATTTCGTTGGAACAATGACAATTAACCGCTGTAGACAGGGATTATTTAGTAATATCATGTAATACTTCTAGTCGCGAAGACTATATATAGTCCTGGGCCAACAAGCTGCTCTATATTTCATACCTCGCGTCAAACTGGAAAACGTCCAACCTTTAAAATCTGTGGACGGACAGTGGGCGAGTATTCATGCAATATTTCTTTGGCAAACATTTCGTGGTTTTGTATATAGTATCTGTGCTGCAACTGCAGTGATTATTTATACGAAATTTCAAGGGAAAAATTACAAACAGTTCGCTCTGGCTAGATATTCCCCAAGATGATCGGGTGTACAGCGGCATATTTTGCCCCCCCCCCCGCACGCTTTGCGCAGTATACCTAGAATTAGTGCATGCCTTTTTCTGAAATCTTTTAAAAAAATTATACGAATGTCGGAATTTAGACGTAGTGAAAGATTATTTTAACCGCATACCTGGACTGATGGGAAATTTGCAACTAAAGTGATGCCAATAACGTTCGTTGCTCCAGCGATGAGTGAGACCAAGTTTACTCGCTCAATATTCTCGTAAGATTTTGCCGCCTTGTACCTAACTTGAATGTATCTTATGTACATGATGACGAAGCAAAGGAATGACGAGATGTTCATAATTTCGGCAAATATATCACCTTCGGGTCTCCTTGTACCGGTGTTGCTGATGGATGGCACTAAAGGGTAAACATGGCCGACAAAAACCGAGTAGAAATAGCAAAATAGCACTCCTGCTAGCGTAAAGATAGCCCACAGTAGCGGTACTAAACCCAATCCGAGAGGAAAATCCATTACTTTGACCGAGAGATCAATGTCTAGATATACAATCAAGTGATCGAGCTTCTTCTATTATCGGCGAACGGTGAGTCTAGACGGGTTGAAGGCACAATCTACCGACTCAACTCGGTCACAGCTCTGCCTGTGTTTTCTTTGTGGAACATCATGTCCGACTTCTGGAGGATCGAGTTTTATCGTTGACACATACACGTATATGCAGCTGGTCACATATAATTTGGATTTGTTTGCGAAAACGTTTGTTCATCTGCCCTTCATTTGTACACATGGTTTTTCTCCTCATTTAAATTTTAATTGGCTGTCTACAGCGGCTTGGCTCTTAAACGTATGCATATGTATTTGCTGCAAATACGCTTAATAATTTAGCGCATGTTGGATCCGTTAATTATAGCCTATTAAATCCAAGGCTTTGCGATTGTGGATCGCGCATATAAGCAAGACTATATATATTCGTTTATTAACATCGTGAAAATAAAGTTTCTTGAAATTTTCTGCCAGCAATCATCGGAAACTATACACTTAAAAATACTTCGCTTATACATAGCTAACTACCGTGACACAAAATGATTAAACTCTATAAACACATTCATTTGCAACGGTACCCGTGCATGTAGTTACACCCATACATATAGGCTTTGATATACTGTTTGGTTTTGGTGTGATTTAGTAAAGGATACAACAGTAATTTAAATTTTTCAAAACGGTCAGTTTTTAATTTTTGGCGAATATATTCAGTGGCAGACGTTCAATATAGCACGTTTGGGGAAAATAATTATCATATTCACGGGCACGGCTAAAATGAGTACCCGTGCCCAATTTTGCTAGTTCTCAGGCTACCAAAACAAAGGCCGGGCACAGATGAATTGGGCACGGATACCCATTTTAGCCATGCCGTGTCAATAAATTGAGAGTAGTGTACGGCGCTTATATTTCTCGTAATCAAAAATTTTTAATGATCACAATTTCATGCAGTCTTTAACCACGTAGTTAACAGATGAACGATGCGTCAAGACGAACTACCATTGAAATTTGTCATTTAAATGGGAACTATGTGGATAATTCGTCACGACAGTTAATGCTTCTTTTTGCCCATGTTTACATATACAGACGAGATAGAACACGAACTATCTTTTTCTTGCCGAGGTTCGTCTAGACGGACGAAATGTCTCCAGTATAAATCGGGTCATTCATATACCCGGAACAAAATTTGGTGCATTTTTATATATTATAGTCATTATACATAATTATAATAATATAGTTCCACTAATTAGCTATGATATACATAACTGATGATCTCTTTTACATAATTATACTAATTTATTTGAACTTAGCATCAAATATGGTATAACAACTGCCTAAAATAGACAAAAACACTTCTCGATGTTTGGACCTGAGGGCCTTCGTATGGAGAGTTAGTATCAATTTATTACTCCGGCGTGAGCGACGGAGTTGAAAATTCGGCGCGAATATAACAGTATTTGAAAACTTAAATGCTCATTTACACGCAACGCTTCTATACTTTTAAAACACGCGGTGTGCTATCCCGAACAACATTTAGGTTCGCAAGGCTTCTAAATCAACGAGTATAAAAATAGTAGTGTTTATGTTCAGAAGCTTTTTATTCAAGACTGGGACGTGCGGCACGCTGGAGTTAACGCAAGAGCAGGCGTCTTGTTTTAATGTATATCACTTTTACAAAGTAATATACATAATTGATTCATCACTTTTAAATCGGTTCCCTGAAGCGATTTGCAAATGCTTGTTTAATTTAGAACCACCTTAAACGAAATGGATTTCAAGTTTTACTCACACGAGCTATGTGCAACCGTGCAAAACATCCTTCCTTCTTCAACCCATCAGCATGCATAAAATCAATTTTTCATTTCGGCTAAAAGTACGGAAATAGGCGACAAAACGAGAACAAGGATAAGCATGCGAGAATTCCAAAGTTTTCGTGTTATGGCACATTTTATTTTTAAAAATAAAAAAATTCTCATGCGTATGTTGAAGAAAGAGGTTTTTCATAAAATTTTGACGTATATTGGAGCCGTCTATCGGATTAGCCATGATGCGCATCCGGGCATACTTTTATTATTTTACAGTTTTTTAAAAAGATTTCATTATCAGCAAAATGGAGACGTTTTGTATAAGTTCGATGCATGCTTAGTTAATTATGAAGGGTAATCCAACATTAAAGCGCTCATGTGTGCCTGAATTACTCTTAAAACAAGAGTAATTTTTTTTAATTATAAAATAAGAATGTTCAAGCTATTCTATACAGCAGTGTTCTATATCTGTCGAATCTATCTATATATCTATCGGATTAGCTATAATGTGCATCCGGCTACTTTTATTATTTTACAGTTTTTTAAAAATTTTTGATTATCAATTAAATAAAAGTAGTCAATATAAGCATAAGTAAAAAACATTTAAGGTTTATTTTATTGTCGGTTTTACATTAATTCTCATTCATTTCCAATGAATAAAAATAGTTAATCCAACTTCTGGCGTTCTGCAGGCGTAAGTGGCGTTCGTGATTTACTATACAAACATGCAAGCGCCATTTTTTATGACAATAAAAAAACAGTGTTCTAGCTGTCGAATTTATCTATTTTTCAGATTAGCTATAACGTGCATCCGGATACGTCATTTAAACTAACACCTTTTTTCTCTGGATTTCCTTTCTGTTTTATTCCTTTCTTTTAACTTTAGATTTGTTGAAGTAATAGAACTATCAAATGAAGTATTTAATGACGTAATCATTATAGTCGTAGTCCCGTGATCGACTTGTAGACAACAAATATATCCTATTACATTTATATTTTTGTTTGAAATTAGTCTTCGCGCAACAGCAGTAAGGATTAAATCATACTGCATGCGCGCAACAATGGAAATGAAGTCTGCATTGATTATTCTTCTTTTTCTCAACCTTTTCCATATTATTCACCGCAGGTATGATTTTAATAACCCCATGTTTATAATGTTTATTAATTTATAGCTAAATTAAACTAATTAAATCATGAAGGGTTCGTTCAATCACAATGCACTTGTGTTGTGATAGCCTCGCGATGATTGTGTCATATTATACTCAAATTTTTGTTTTCAGGCGGCTAAATTTACGCCTGTATTCTAAAAGCTCACTCACACTCAAACTCATTGAGTGGGAGATCTTAATCTTCTCATAACGTTTCAATGGCGGTATTTCCAGCCGAACAGGGGCTTGATTTTCAGTGATTTACCTTACATCTTTCCATCTATTCAGAAAAAACGTTCTCATTGATCAGCATTAACGAAATTTATATGTCACACTCGATGAGTATGAGTGTGAGTGAGCTTTTTGAATACAGGCGTTAGTGTCGAACATTTCAATAACAAATATTTTTTTTATATTTAGCTTAGCACGAATTGGACTGGATGTTATTTTGGGTTATACATCTATATTTGTAAAGATTATATATTATATTATATAAATAACTTGCGCAAATAGTTGTGAGCTAGATCAGATAAAAGTAAATATAATGCAGTAGGGTAATAAAGATGGTAGAAAATTCTTTGAGGTTTCGCAGAATTTGGCTTCGATATAATGATTAGCAAAGAAAGAAAAATGTCGCTAAACTGCGCTGTGCTGCCTGTAATATAATATTCGGCTAAATTAAGGACGCGGCAGGCGACTATAAAAATATGCTGATCTCATTGACTACTAGTGCTCAGGTGACTCGAGAAAACTTTTCATGGTGACACCTTCTCCTTTAGTGAATGAATTAATTTCGTAAGCGTTTTATGCTGCAAGGTTTTTTGCGCCCTATTAGAACCGAAATCAATAGAATTGTAGTACAACTTCCTTCTGTTGAATATCGGTCACCTACAGCTGAACTTACATAATTTCGTCAGATAACAGAATGGATTCGCCATAATTAGGCTATTATGAATTAACATATCAAATGGCTCTTGCTATTAGATCCAATTCCGCCCTATTTAATGAAATTATGCGTTGATGAATAAAGATCTGCATATAATAACAAACCTGAAAATTAGCATGTCGTTACATCACGGTTATGTCTTCTAACCATGGGAAGTTGCTATTAATTCTAGTGCCTACTTTGAAGATATTTGAGAATTTAAGACCTTTAGATAGTTACCCTTGTGAAGAACTTAATTCGTATCAATCAATAAATCAGCTTATCGCCCATTTCACTCAACAAAGACAGCTCATATTAAAAAGTGAGATTTTAATGAGTATGGATCAACAAAAAGTCACGCTACTTGCACTACATGATTTAAGCGCGGCCTTTCATACAGTAGATCTCAAAATATAGGCACACTGCAGGCTTTTGGGCCAGGTTTCGGCCGTTTGGCCTCATTAACTACAGTTTTGACTATGTCACATGAGGGATAAACCTTTTAGAATTGCTTTTAGCGAAAAAAAAGAACAAACTTGGTGCATGGGATCTATTTCAAGGTTAAATTTAAGGCTTGGTATCTTGGTGTACGGTTTGGGGCATGTTCATCATCGGCAGTTAAGATAATATGTATCATGCATATCCGTGATAATCCAAGATGGCGGACAGTTAGCTAATTTTAGTCAAAATATTTCATGAGTGAAAACTTGCAATCTGAACGAACGTAGTTGATATAATTATTTTTTTAAAATATTGTTCATTATTATAATTGAAATGACTTGCGCGTACTTATGTTCGAAAATATAAAGCAAGCATGTATTTAACAAATCGAACTCGATTTCCACCTTAACTTGCGGTTACTATTGTTGGTGTTTTTTGTAGCAATGGCGAAATCAATGACGGTGACTATTTGATCACTGTACCACGAGTATTGCGTGGTGGGACAACTGTTAATATTGGTGTTAATATTTTTGGAAATGTTTCTCGCGACGTGGAAATCAGTCTGCTTGGACGCTTTGGAATCAACGGTGGAGCGAAAGGCCATTTTCAACCAAATGAAATTTCAAAACTGGAACTGAAGGTTAGCCTTAACGCTGTTTAGAATAGCTAAAGCTTGGCCAGCAGCGGCTCTTCCAATGATGTCGTATCACAAAAGTAATCCGCCATCATGGATGGTAAGAGTCTTTTATTAAAAAAAAGTCACTACAAACCTGGGAACTTTGAACTGAGGTTCTCGAAGTAACAGACGAAAATGTATGTTGCCTCATGTACTACAATCGCATGTTTTATTTGCGTTTAACTATGACAACAGTATTTTACTACACAAAGTAAAACGATGAAGACAAACTAAT